TGGTGGTGGTGGTGGTGGTGGTGGTGATGCTGGTGGTGGTAGTGATGGTCGTGATGGTCGTGATGATAGTGATGGTGGTGGTGGTGGTGATAGTGATGGTGGTGGTCCAGATGATGAAGGCAGTGATAACGATGGCGAGGGCATGAGGTTTATTATTACCATTAATGTCTTAGCAATACAGGAAATGGGTAAAGAGAAGTAGATGGCTGATACGAATGGGCATGAATCCAGGATCCACAGCCAAGTCTGGTAGGTCTCTTCTACACCCTCACTTGTTCTCAGATAGACCATCCTCAAGCTGCCTTATCAAACTCCACAGCACACTAACTGATAAAACAGTGCTCAACAGCCACTGTCCAATCCTTACTAGACAGGCAATGAGTTTGCCTTAATTAGAAACTGCCCAACACGAGATCAGTAATGGGTTCTCTAAGATCAGTTCATGCCCTTTTGTCTCTGTAATTCAGTGACCTGAGTTCCAGCTGGAATTCCCTGATGCTGTCCCTTACGTCTGGGGGCACTCCTATAGAAGATATTCTCAAGGAATTAGTCTGACAACAAACAGCTCAGGCAAAATTCTGGTTGGTAACATTTAAAACTATACACCCATCCAAGGAGAAAATTGCACTTAATTATTCACACAGTCATTCAGGCTGGCATATTGGTTCAGAAACTGCACCAGCTGCCGACAGTTCCCTGCCACCCTCCCCTCTCCCTCTCTCCTCTCCTCACCCGCCTGTGCTCCTCATCCCAGAAACTTCTGCAAAAGTGATTATGCTTCAGTGTCTTTGCTTCTGGATATTTTCACATCTCTGTCAAATTGGTCAAGCAGAATTGCATATCCATTTGGGAAAAGCCTCAGCATGGCAATTCCAAGAGAAATTGCACTGCTATTTTTAAAATGTATATGATACTACTTAATTCTTTTCAGAATCTCATTACTGTGGCAATCAGCTCTCCAGACCATGGATTATCTGAGCCTTAGGACACACGCCCCTGAGACACGCCCCATCATCCTGTACCTGCCTCCCTCTACACTCTCTGACACTTCCTCCTCTCCCCTGTGGTACTAACACTTACAGTGGGCTGAGCAGAAGCTAGAAACAGAAGATCAGTTTACAAGGGAACCCACAGTAACAGAATTCCAAGTACTTCAAGCACTACACAAATGCTTAATCTCAGAGCCAAAGAAATGTCCCAAGTAGCACCCAGGAGCTTAAGGCCTAATGTAAAAAAAATACAAATATGAAAAACTCTACCAAGCAGTGAGTGGGTTGTACTTCCTCAAGGCAGCAGACTCCAATCTGCCATTTCAGAAGGAAGCATGGAGTGAACCAGGCAAAATTTTACAGGCATGCAACATTTGGAGCAAAGACTTGCAAAATTAATGACCACTGAATAGGCCACTTTGCTTACATAAAGGGTAAGGCAGAGGAGCATCAAAAATTTGAGTACATTCACATAGAATAAGGTAAGCCCATAGCCTGCTCATAGTGCATCACTTTCAGAAAAGTAAGACAAATTAAATGCTTCATTGCATGCATTACATGAAGGCCCTGACCCAAGTAAAAGGGTACAAGGACAGAAACAATGCAACTTTCAGTCTCAAGGGAGAAATTAAGTCCTGGTGGTCACACAGGCACATGAAGATTGTGCTGTTGATAGTAAGACTGACTCTGCAAAAGAGGGCTGCCCTGCTGAATCCAGATATTACTGGAAGCAATACCAGTGGTTCTCATGCACAGTACGCTGGAGCTGGCCAGCGACCTTAACCTCAGCATGCTTCAGAATAGCCTGAATGGTTCTGAAAGGAGTATGCACACTCTCTGCCCCAAAAAGATTCTAACTGAATTGGTCTAGGATTAGATCTTGGCATTAGTATTCTTAAAACAACTTTCTACATGGTTAAAACATGAAATATTCAGCAAACTTTGAGAATTAGCACTGAGAGGAACACTGTCAAGTAAGAAAAGCAACCTGGTGAACTGTGGCATGTCCCATTTCTGGGACAAAATACATGAAACAAAGGAAGAGAGTTTTAATTTGGCTCCCAATTAAGGGGGTCCAGGTCATGCTCTGTAGGCTCCAAAGCAGAAACTCTTGGTGGAAGTAGGGAAGAGCTATTCAAGTCACCATGATGGCCAGAAGTAAAGCAGAGTAAGAGCACTGGAGAGAAAGGGGAAAGAGACCAAATAGAGACCCTGAGGCCATGCCTCCATTACCCACCCAGAAACACCAAGTGTTGTGCCCCACCAATCCTCTGGGTGGATTCCAAAGCCAATCAAGTTGAAACTCCACCTGAATCAGCACAACTGTAAGTTTGAGTTCATATAAAGACCCTCAAGGGCTGGCCTGATAGCTCAGGGGGCTAAAGTGCCTGTTTATACAGAGTGCAGTGGCTGGGTTCAATCCCCAGTGTGTTGTGCCAGCCCTGCCCCCTGGGCACACTGAGATGGTCATTGAGACTTGGCATGGTAGAGCGTACCTATAATCCCAGTGCTTAGGAGGCTGAAAACAGGAGGATCACTATAACTTTAATTACGTAGTGAGACCCTGTAGACCCTGTATCCCCTGTTCTAAATCCAAAAAAAAAGACCCTCAAAACAGAGTCCAACTGTAGGAATAAGACCTCAAACCAGATAGAGCCAAAAGAAGTGGAGAAAAAAGAAGTTGGTGTGAAGTTATAGATGAGAACACTGGGGAAGAAGTAGGCATGAGTGAAAATATAATAATTGACAGGCTGCAGGGGCTCTCAAATCTTACCAGGCATCAGAATCACTTGGAGGAAACCCTGCCTGCATCCAGAATTTCTGATTGGGTTAATCTGAGGGGAGGTTCAGAATTTGGATGGTGGCTGGGGATGTACTCAGGGATAGACCACTTGCTTAGTGTACATAAGTCTCTGAGTTCAATCACCAGTACTGTAGAAAACAAATGAAAGGAATTTTCATGAGAATTTGACCTACAGACACATGTTATAGGATGCTGCACATGTCATGGATATTGTTGGGCTCAGTTTCCTTACTGGTAAAATATGTGATCTAGATCCAGATTTCTTAACCTCAACAAAATTGATGTTTGGGGCTGTCCCAAACATCCATACTGTGCATTATAGGATGTCTACCCACCAGATGCTGGGAGCATCCACCCTCCTCATTATAGCAATAAAAATGTCTCCGGTCATGGTCAAACATACCCTAGAGAAATGAGGTGCAAAATGATCCCCTGTAGAGAACACTAGTTTCTGCATAGCTTTAATTTTTTTTCTTTTTTTTTTAAACAGGGAATGAAGTTATCCTTTTTCTTGTTGTTTCAATGAAAATATATTTCTAAATCATAACATGATTAGTTTCAGATCAAAACAAATTAATTTGAAAATGTATCCGTAGTCTTGCTCTGCATGATGATCCTTTAGTGTATAACAAACTGTATGTATGATAGTGGGCTTATATAATACCATCAGCATGATTATTAATCTTGACTGCCAATTTGACTGGCTTGAGAGATGCCGAGATTAGTAAAGCACACATTTGGGTGTGTCTAGGAAGGGAGTGGAAGTATGATCTTAGAGACTGCATTGGTGTCTGGTGCCTTCCTCCTTGGCTCTTCCTCTGTTCTCTACATATCAGAGGCCATCGGTTGGACAAATCTCTTCTGCTACTCCTTCTGCCATGATGCTTCTGACTTAAAGCCAGCATGCCATGGACTAAACCTCTGAAATCATGAGCCAGAATAAACCTCACAGGACAAAGTGGCAAAAATCATGTGCTTTGGCACCAGAGTGCCTGCTTTGAGACTTCACTTGATCCATTTATCAACTGTTGGGTATTAAAAATCTTTTTTTCTCTTAACTTTTTGTTTATAATCAATTTTAGATTTATAAAACAGTTACAAGTATAGTACCATGTTTCCACATATGTAATGATAGTACATAAATACAGGAAATTTAACTACCTCTTCCTCAGTTTCTATCCTTAAAATAAGGATACATGGTCACCACCTCATAGAACTGTTGAAAGTCAGAGTGGAATAATATATGTAAAATATTCAGAATAGCACCAGGTACTGATCAAGTGTTCAAAAAAATAGTGATGATTTTTTGTCATTCCCTTTAGTTTAAAAATCTCCAAAAACAATTAGAAGTACAGAAACAGTACCTTGTGAGTGTGGAGTACACCTGGTCACCATGGCTATCTGTCTGTGCCTACCTGTGTGTGCACCTCCATGAGGGTGGGCTCGCACTGAATCCTTACCTTCCAGGCTGCCTGCTTCTCCCCCTGCATCATTGAAACCTGTGGACTTTTCCAAATCCTGGATCATATCCAAGTCTCCTGGACTCTGACCATTATCATATTCCAATAGCTCATCCCAAGAGAACCAGCAAAGCTCTCTTCTTCCTGCATCAGCCAGACTAAGGGCCACATCTGTGAGCACCAATGCTCCAACAGGAACTGCATCTTCCAGTCTGTTCAGCTCTCTCCCTCAAGGGCCCCTCTACAGAATTTTACACAAAAGCACAGATGCCTCCAATCCAAAAGTGCATCATAAATTCTTGCTGAGCATGAGCTTTCTGTGCTTTGGTGTTTGGAAAGAGAGTGCTGAGTCAGACCCAGCAGTAGGGGTGCGGGGAGGGGGGCTGAGCTCTCACCTTAACCTTTGCCCAAAGGTAGCAGAGCAATTTGTAAGTGTTCATTCAACTCTTTTCCATTCCCTAGACAGGAGGGTACTCTGTCTATTTTGCTAACACAAGGACCTGGTACAAAGGGGAGAATAAGCCCTTATCAGCCACCTATCTTGCAGAGTGGTGAGGGCTGGCCCCAAGGCAGAACTGGGCCTGGCTCTAAGCCCCATGCACACACCAATTGAAGTTGATCTGTTGGGCCAGTGTGCTGAGCGCTGGAGCTTGCCCCTGCCAGGATTGCATTGGTATTCCGCATGTAGAAGAGAAGTTTCAGTCTCCCACTAATTGCTATGAGCTCAAATGCATTCAGTCATTAGAGCTTCACTTTAGGATGGGAGCTGAATCCTAATTGCAAAGATGTGCTGGCACTGAAGATAGCAATGGCCAGTGTAGATGGTCTACTGTCTCTCCCCCTTCCTCTCTGTGTCTCTCTCTCTTTTTGTCTCCATGTCTCTGTACACACACACACACACACACACACACACACACACACACGCACGCACTGTGGCTCCATCTCCATGGAACAAGGTTACCCTTGACCTTTCCCTAGCAATAGCCTAAACTCCAGATACACTCAAGGCTCATTCAAAGTCTTGTGCTGGTCTCGGATTTTAGGTTTCGCTTCTGACAACCCTGAGAGACTAGAAATTCTCAGAACACCCTGTGGCCTGGCTGAAAAGCTCCCCTACAACTGTGTGCCTTTTGTCTTCCTCATTTTCTGCTGCTGATCATTTTTGCACATGTGTTTCAAAGGACCAGGTGTGAGAACATAAGCGATTGAGCTTCATTTGTTGTGCTCTTCCCAGTAAGTGATCTTTAACATGGGTCTGACCAGAACAAGCTTCAGCTTAAAGACTCCTCAGATGCTAGATTGCAGTTAAAACATTTGAGATTCTTTTAGAAATACTCTTTGGCTCTGACCCCAGCTTACCTTACCAGTACACTGAACAGCTCCCCTGCATGCTCAGCCTGTCCTCCTGCTGTCACGCTAGAGGTGCAGTCTAGGGAGGGCAGTGAGGAGCTAAACCATGACAGATCACAAAAGCAGTGATGATGGCCACTCTGACAGCTTCCATGTGTGCTTCTACTATGCATTTTTATGCACCAAATTCTTTATAGATTTTAATCCCTGGAACAAGATCAGGTTGGATTGGACTGGGTTGGATTAGATTGGACTGGACTGGACTGGACTGGATAGGATTGGATTGGACTGGACTGGACTGGACTGGATTGGATTGGACTGGACTGGACTGGACTGGACTGGACTGGACTGGACTGCACTGGATTGGATTGGATTGGATTATGCTAGAATCCTTATACTTAGGCAGCTGATCTGTAATTATGGCTAAATTATCTCTTAATGGTAGTGATTAATGATTCTTTAATGATTCTTTTGCCTTACATAGAAATAAGACTGATGAGATTAAGGTACCCCTCCAAGGATTGTGATGAGGCTCAAGTGAATTAATGCACAAAAATGATCAGAAAAGTGCCTGGTACAGGTCAGCCCTAACTACCTGTTCAACTACTCAGTCCCATCTCAAAACCATGATGTCACAAACAGGAATGTAGACAGCCCTATTTCTTTAGAAACACTCCAAGCCATCAGCAAAGGGTACGAGGTGCGGTCACCACACCTGTGCTGTGGTGAAAGCAGCCACAGGAACACAGCTTGTGTTCGATGGGACTATGAATGCCCAGGTGTAGTTAACACTCACTGCTGCAGAGGTATTTTCTGCTGATTGGTCCACCAGGTTAAAAGCATCCAAGATGCAATCAGAGATAAGAAGCAGCAGTTCAACTTTCTGGGGGAAGAGATTAAGCTGAATCTTTCTGTGGGCATCTTCATCACCATGAACCCAGGCTATGCTGGCCGCACGGAGCTGCCCGAAAATCTCAAGGCCTTGTTCAGGTAAGCCCCACCGCAAGGCCTCCAGAGAGAGGTTTCTTTTGTTCTTGTGTTATAAATGTATGGTACATACACTGATGAAATTTGGAGTTTATAGAAAATTAGATTTTTTTTATTACTGATGATGTAATGCCATCACAGGTAATATTATTTTTTGTTTAACTGATTTTGATTCTCTCTCTCTCTCTCTCTCTCTCTCTATATATATATATATAGATATATACATACATATGAACTTTACATATATATGAATTTTATAGTCTACATTTGTAGCATACAGTATTTAAATTTTTTGTTTCCTAGTCTATTATAAATATTTTGCTCTGTTAGATATTTTTTAATAAATCTCATTTAATGACTATATTTTTCCATCAAGTTCACAGTCTGCAGTATACTAAAGTAGTCCCTCTTGGTTGAATATTAAGACTATTTCTAACATTTAAAATTAATTCATACAAAATGCTGTAATGTACATTTTTGTTGCACATAAATCTTTTTTTTCATATGCATGATTATTTTATTTGGCTAGCTTCCCAGAAGTAGAATTACTGAGTTAACGATTAGGAACATGTTTAAGGCACTTGACACACGTTGCCAAATTGCTTTCTAAAAATCATAGTACCAAATTAATCTCATAGTAGCAATGTATAGGAACACCTCTTTTATTTCACCCTTGCCACACATGCAGATTGCTATGCTTCTGAATCTTCTTTACTCTTTAAATTTTTATCGGTATGTGTTGGTAGTACATTATGCTTACATTCACCACAGGGAGTCGGTACATGTACATGGCATACTCTCAGTTCCTTTTTTAATCCCACCCCACACACACCTCTTTATTTCAGTGAGAAAACATCAATGTGTCTCTGACCAGAAACTAGAGCATATGTTCTTTCTGAAAAGTGAAGTTGGCCCAACAAAGAGAACATTGAAAGGTGCATCTTGCCTTCTGATTTTCTGCTTACTAAACTTTTACTTAAAAGAGATTGTGAGGAGCTACCACAAAGCTGTTGTGTCAATTTTCGGATTGAGACACGCAGTGCTTTCTGTTAGGGAGGTGAAGTAACTGCTTTCACAGGCTCCTCACAGGATCCTCAGAGGGCAGCAGACTGTGTGCATTAGTCCCTCACTTTCAACTACCCCAACGTGGCAAGTTCTTGTGTCCCACAAGTAGCATGGGTGTCTCCTTGTTCAGGCATGTCCTGCTTTAACTAAGAAATGCTGGAATGTTAGTAAGATGTCTAAACTGCCACAGAATGCTGCACTGTTTGCTTTTCACACAAAACTAAGCTTTGAGTGACAAACAATAACACAGGTATGCTATCACCCAGGTAAGAATTAGTTCTCTTGGTTTTTTTCCCCCCTACATATAAAAGAATTGTTAGACCATTCAGATTGATATAACAAAGCAGCATAAGCTAAGTATCCTAACCAGAGGGATTTATTTCTCACAGTTTGGAAGCCCAGAAGCCTGAGCTCAAGGTGCTAGTATAGGCAGATTCTGATGAAGACAACTTTCCGGTTGCTGATGGCCAACTTCTCTTGTATCCTCACATGGTCAGAAGCAGTGGACTGGCCTGCTGGCTTCTTCTTACAAAGCACTAATCCCATTAATGAGGGCTCCATCCTCCTGACCTAATTACCACTCAAAGGCCCCACCTCCAAATACCTTCACTAGGGTTAAGATTCCAACATCCAAATTTAGGAGAGCATGACCTTTCAGTCCAGTCACACATACACAGAAGAAAATTTGGGGAAGGGGAGAGGAAAATATTTTTTAGAACCATAAATGCAAAAATCTATTTTTACATTTAATTCTGACAAAGACTCTCTGAGGGAGGTACTATTGGCTTTTCTCTTTGAGCAGACTACAGATGGAGTCAACAAAATTTGTGCAGTAGAACTCTAGTTACTAAAATTAGCTAGTGGCCCAGCTGATAAGTGTCAGAACTAGAGTGTGAACCCATGGCCTCCTTCGACTGGTTTCTCCTTCAACTGTTTGTCCTTCGACTGGTCCAACATCCAGCGATAATCAGTGTGCCTTCTCATTTTCCTCCCAGTAGTGTGTGAGCTGAACATTTCTTTTTCAAAATTGGGATCCAATTCTGTATTGTTTAGTACCCTGTATTCATTAATTAATGTTTTCTTGTTTCATTTAATAGCTTTGCTTCTACAACATTATTTTTCATCGTCACGTTGTATTCTGTTGGATGAATGCATGTAACCTAATGTTCAGGTTGCCAAGTAATTTTGAGGATCTAAGTATTTGCCAGCTTCTTTGCAATTGAGCGCAATGCAAAATATTTCAGGAAGCAATATGGACATAAATAAAATTATTTTTAACTTTTAATAAGCATAAAAAGGTAAATAATGAAATATAATATCATATGCCAATTACATACCTAATAAATTAATAAGAAAATAAATCTTTAAAATCAAATGTGGTTAGTACCAAAGGAAAGGAAAAATCACACTTAATCCTTCTATACAGAAAAAAAAAATCCCCTGATATGTTATTATATGTCTCATTTTATGTCAAGGCGGGGTTAACCTACCTTAGACCTCAATGTTAGAAATTTACATTTATATGCAAATAAATACAGGATAATACCTGAGTGGCTAGGTTTTGGAGGAGACACACGTCTTCCAGATAGGCTAGAGAAATTCTCAGTCTCTTGTAACCACCCAGAGAAATCTAGCTGCTCAACTTTAGCTTCTAATTTATTCTAGACAATTTACTTTACTAATGCACAGCTTTTGTGACACTCCAGCCTCAAGTTACATGATATGAGCTGGAGGTAGGGCCCCAACTCTGCTCACTTGCTACCATTGTCCACCACCTTGGGTAAGAGCCTACGTCCTTTATTCTTGCTTCACTCATCTTGAATTTGGAAGTCTCAGATGAGATGACTGTAAAGTTCCCTTCATGAGTCCTTGTACTTGCAGACACCTCTTTGATGATTGGCATCCAGTATCTCTTGTTCTCCAGTCTCCCCTTCAACCTTGTGAGTGGGGAACTGATGAAATCACCCTCTGCTCCTGTACACAGGCCATGTGCGATGGTTGTCCCAGACTTTGAGTTGATCTGCGAGATCATGCTGGTGGCAGAAGGATTCATTGATGCCCGGCTATTAGCCAGAAAGTTCATCACCCTTTACAAATTGTGCAAAGAACTTCTTTCCAAACAGGTAAGAACTTCAGAGAGATTAGTGGCCAAGGCCATGCTATGCGTCCAGCTCTGGAAGGGTTCTGGCCTATGCATTAGACCTTTCTCCTATGAGTCATGGCAGCCAAATGGGTGTATTGACACAAGTCAGCACTTTGAGAAGCTAGATGAGAGGGTCACATGCTCAAATCAAGCTTGGGCAACTCAGAGATATAGTGAGACCCTGTCTCAAAATAAAATGTAAAACAGGACTGGGAATGCAGCTCATTGTGAAAGCCTGAGTTCAACACCCAGAAGAAAAAAAAAAAGAGAGAGAGAGAGAGAGAGAGAGAGAGAGAGAGAGAGAGAGAGAGAGAGAGAGAGAGAGAGAGAAAGGTTCTAAGTGGTTTCATAATAGAAAGGAGTAATTAATGTTGAAGTTTTCCTTTTTAATTTCTTATAGCTTCTTTTTTATTTAACCAATTTTAAGGCTTATATTTCGTAACTTAAATAATTTGAAGACATTACGCAATATAACAGCCATTGTTGAATTTCCATTATTTTGTTTAGTCAAATTCTTGTATCATTTCTAATGTTTTTCCTACCATTTTTATGCTTTTTTAAAAAAATTGTGTTAACATTTTTTGGCACAGAACCCCATTTTTACTGTAATATTTAGCACCATTGCACAGACACAAATGTCCCACCATGAAGAAGCTCTGGAGTACACGGTTTCTACCTTAAGGGATAGGACATAGAGAGGGAGTTGAGAAGAAAATTAGTTTTAACTTTTTGTTTGGCCTCAAATGTGGCTTTTGCTTAAGGCTGGTCCCCTCATAGGTAGCCTTGCAGCTGAGCATCTGCTGGGTATATGCCTTGGGAAACTTCATGATGGCAAGGACAATGGAGAAGTTTTCTTGAGCTATTCCCACTCAGGTTCACTTTCCCCATGGGGTCATCTCACTCTAATAACCTTTCATGCCACAAAACAGGCTCTCTCCCCTCTGTGAAATCTGTTCAAGAGGGAGAACATGGCAATGTCTTCATATTTTCTTTTATGTTGTACCGTGTCTTGGTCCTCTTCCACCACTGACTTCCAGGGCAGTTGAGTTCCACTCTTGATAGCTCTATCCCCAATTGCTTTTGAACTCTAAACCTGTGCAATCAATGCTGCAAGCCACCGGTCTTTCTGGGTACTTAAAATGCAGCTTTCTCTCAGCACATCTGAATCTGTTCCCCCATCCAGCTCTGACCCAGCTGATTCTTCGTGCATTCCATTTTCCACAAAACCATCATTTGCTCACCAACTGAGGTCTGTTCCACACTCTACACACTTTTCAAATAAGTCTCGTTTTCTTTTCCTATTCACTGTCACCTCTTTAGTTGCAACACTTGTGTCTCCATTTAAAGCATTGCATCTGCCTCTATGCTGCCTTCTTCAGCTATACACCAGGTCCTCTAATCCATTCTGTAGCTAACATCTAGAGGAATTATCTTCATGTACTCCTCACTAGTATTAGGGTAAGGGCCAACACAGTCATCTCTGCTAAGAGCTGCACAGTGATCAGTCTGCCTACAGCTACCCCTATAGCTGAGCCTTCATGGCTCTGTCCTTGGGATTCTGTGCTGCACTGGTATTGGTCTTCCTTGAGTTTCTTGAATTTCTTGTCATACTGAGCCGGTAGACGTCTTCTCCCCACTTCTTTCTCAACTATGCTTGACTGAACTCTACTCCTCCAGATTTTCTGTAATACCTTTCCTTCAGAAAAACCTGACCTACATCCTCAGGTTCAGTGATCACACCTTTTGGCTTCATTGCACACAAATTTTTTCCTTTGTAGCAATTTCTGAATAGTGATGTTCTACAAAGCATGTGGCAGAGCTTGGACATGAACATAAGCCTGAGTTCAGACTCCACAGTCTGAACTGCATTCCCCCACCTCCTCCCAGCATGCTGCTTTACGTCTCTTGAGTGATCTGTGTGTGCTTTATTGTACTCGGAGTTGGAAAGGTAGATAACTGCAGATAAGGGACTAGAATTTTGTGGTCAGGTTTTCCAAGTTTTCAGCCATCTGCCAGGTCTCCACTCAGCCTTCAGGATGACCAGTGATGTGTGTTATTTATCATGTGTCCCCTCTGAGTGTGTGGTACTCTGCATCCTAGCAGCTTTGGTCTGACCTGCATTGCCCTCCCTGCTGCAGGATCACTATGACTGGGGCCTGCGGGCCATCAAGTCTGTACTCGTGGTGGCAGGATCACTAAAGCGAGGAGACCCTGATAGGCCTGAGGACCAGGTCCTGATGCGTTCCTTGCGAGACTTCAACGTCCCCAAGATCGTGACTGATGACATGCCTGTGTTCATGGGCCTGATCGGGGACCTCTTCCCTGCTCTGGAGGTGCCAAGGAGGAGAGACCTGAACTTTGAGACTTTGGTGAGGAAGGCAATTGTGGACCTGAAGCTCCAAGCAGAGGACAACTTTGTGCTCAAGGTACATGAGGCTTTCCCTCCCAGAATTTCTTGCTTCTTATTTCGTTTCTTGGATAATGAGTTATTCTTTGTCTTTAATCCAAAGAATTGTATAGCTGTACTGATATATCTAGTTAGAAACAATTCATTTCATGTTTTTATTGGTGCCCTTCAGTATGATGTGTGGTAGGAAAAATAAGAGAAATTGAATATCTCCTACCACAAGTATCAATAGGAAGCAGATATATTTAAGAGTATACAAAAAACTTTCTAAAAAAAGTAAGAACTTTATTGTAAATGTAACTGATGGCTGTAAGAACCATGTGCTTTGTACTGTCTGCTGAGAAGGCTGCGAGTGCACACGAGGACCCTGGGAGGCCGTCTCCCTTTCCTTTGAAACATTGATTGCATCAATGAAGAAGGCTCCATATGGCTCTGATCTTTAATTGTGATGAAAATGGTCTCTATCAGAATCAGATGTACTCAGAATCTGCCACCTGGTCCATGAGGAGTTGGGGCTGCAAGGGATGGGCTGACCATACGGCAGAATGAAAACGCCTGGGGAATTAACTGTGCTGGCATTTCATTTGGGTTAGAATTCGTTTTGAGTTTTTAAGGCTTTGAATACAAAGTTCTCTACATTTTCAATGGCCTATCCCAATCCTTTTTTTTTCCAGAAGTCTGTTATTTTACTGTGCAATTTTGTATAAGCTAAAGTCTTTAGGATGAAAAAAAAATGTTATAAGTAAAAATGCCTGCATATAAATGAATATGCCTTCAAGCAAGAGGAGACAAGTGCCACCAGAAAGGGGTCAAGGGTTATGAAGTTCAGAGACATGGACAGATGCTTTCTCCTGCTCAATGATATGTGTAAAAAGCATGTGAAAACCACCTTGGTATTGACAAGTGGCTTCACATTCTATATCACATTTGACACCCCCCCACCGGCTCAGCCCCAGCAGCCCCTAAAGCAAATGATACAAATGAGTCTCTTTACAGGTGAAGGAACTGGATAGAATTTCATTATTTCTCCAATATATTACACTGGGCTAATTCATGTGAAATAGAGTGTGTTTCCTAGAAGAACTTAGAACAAATAGGCAGGTTCTTTCCAGGGCACTCCAGTAGGTGTTCCTAGCATACAATACCTTTTTAAATTAACTTTATTGAGAAACAAATAGCAATGAGACAGTTTCAAAATGGATTAGTAGGACAGTTTCAATAATTAATGCATTGCATATTGTTGTCTTCTTAGTGGTTATTCATAGTACAAGATGCAGACATGATATCCTGTCCAAACACTATTAATACAAAACTTTCCTCTCATTGAATTAAGAGAAAGCAGCTGTATATCTATCTCTCCTAACTATTTTGAATATACAGATACAAAATGGTCCTTCATTTGTATCTCCTTTCTTTGTTTAATTTTGTCAGAGATGGGTATTCCCTTGCCATTTAAATATTGTAGGTGTATGAATTCAAATTGCACACTTCTGTTGGTAGAGAAGCTCAGATTCATATAAATAGAATTAAGGGTGAGTTGAAACATCCACTCCCATTGCAAGCAGGTGTCTGCTTTCATTTCCAGAGTTTCTTTCTACAGAGCAAACATTCCCAGCCCTCTGCCACTGTAGTTATTTCTGCAGGGCGACCCTTCCCCACTTTTTCCCACCCTCTTCCCAAGCGCAGTAGACAGACTGCTGAAAAACAGAGGTGAGCAGGATGGCACTGAAGACAGGAAGGCAGGGGTGAGTGGAGGAGTACATGCGAGAAACAGATTGCACAAGCAGCAGCAAGTCTGATGGGGGACCATGTTCTGTTTGTTTCTTTTGCTCCTCCTCTTTCTCACGGAGCTTCTTGCTCTACTGATAAGCCAGAGCCTCTCTAGTGAGGATTCTGAGCACAGATGACATCTCTGTCACTTTTCATTTATCCTGTCCACTTGACAATCTGAACATTCGCACCTCTGAAGACCAATTCTCTAAAAGCTGCCTCATGGAGCTCTTTTGGTATCCTGACATCCCTTTAAAGTAATAATATAAACTCGTATTTTTTAAGAAAAACAAACTCAGAGAATTATGGAAACTGAGAAGGCAATATTATGATAAATTTCTGG